CACTGAACAGTTGACTTGCTACTTGTGAATGCAACATTATCCACCTCCTCACGCTGTTGCTTCTCAGTTTCGTTTATACATAACGTACAACGTATACACTCGACTGCTAAAGGCAACAAAGGAGCGACCACGACCGTGAACTTAATACAGCTCTCACGATCAGCACTCAAAATGAACGGTGATCTTAATACAGCTCTCCCGGCTTCTCACGAAACAGCATTAAATCAACTAGAATCCGTTCATCGAATTCTATCACAGATATAATTCTGGTGGGGGAGTACTGTAGCGAATCTACCACTACAAAAATGTAATTCCAATTCACTAATACAATAAAACATGTTTACTGGATTCTATGTTGGGATACCTTTTCATAAATGAAGGTTGACATGGTCGATAAATTCATCCCCACAATCCAAATATGTGAGTTACGTGATTTTGGCTAAAGATAATTTGTGAAAAGCATACTGATGTTTTTATATCTAACGAATGTTATGGATGTAACGGATGATGTTTCTTACGGATTTTCGTAAATTCGCCGTAAAATGTAGCTTAACATGTTTTTCAATTACGGTCGGGTTTATTAATCACCAAATATCGCTATTATAATTTCTTTGCTTAATTCATTTCATTACAAACGTAATTTACGATTCTTATCATCATTACATACATATATCTGATACTATTGTCTCCTTTTAAACAGAGGTCATTTAGAAACAGTAATGGTAGCAGCACAACATTCTATAATCAATTTCAATAACTGTTAATATCTGGTTACATAATCTTAAGTTTTGAAATTTTAAAGTTAAAGATAACTTTATAATTATAATATAGATGCTGCATAATTATAATATAGACGGTTTTTTAAATGTTTTAAGGATCACATGAACCCTGTAAAAATAGTAATATACAGATGCTTGCTTCTGTCAGTATAAGATTAGGATAAGATTCTGACCAAAATAATGATCGCCACCCAAATGTAAGAAAGTATACTCGATGGTAAAAACTTTATTGTCTACAAAGATGGTAATAAAAATTGGAATGTTTCGAGCCCTCAAAAATAAGCGCCTATTCAAAAGATTCGCCAGGTGTGAATGAAGAAAACAAAAGTGATTTGAAACAGTAAATGTGAAGTTGCCAGTAAAAAATGAAAAATAAAAGTTAAAAATTAAACTGGAAAAAACAGCAGTACCCAAGAGTGAAAAATAAAATAAAAAATTAAATACATATAAAAACAAAATTAGAAAAACTGCAGTGTCCAAGAGTGACAACTCAAGGCAAAAAATGCATTTTCACGTGCTACGGAGATTGGCGAAGAACTAATGTCGTTAACAAGGGAATCTGCATTCATATGAACAAAACAAGATTCCTGGGTATCAAGATGAGCTGATGTGTCACGTGTGGTAGGAATTTTGGCATTATTCAAATTGAATTTATTCAAAAGATTTAAAGAAAGTGTGTGTGGGGGGGAATGAATGATTTATCGCATTCTTGATTACAGATTTATCAACGATGTTTCTTTCGTTTAAATTTTAAAACGCATATGGCTGTTAGTCATGGTTGCATTCTATGATTCACTCTTGGCTTTCATGCTTTTTCTAGTCTTGTTTTCCACTTTTTTTTTAATTCTTTGTTGGCAACCATAAATTTTTTGTCTCAAACCACCTTTTGTTTCCCTCATCACGTCTAACGAGTCTTGAAAATGGGTGCCTGTTTCTGAGAGCGTAAACTTTGCCATTCCCGATTCTCGCTACACATGAATGAGTCGTGACGTTAAACGTGCTTGAAACATGTCGAATTTATTTCCATTTACATATTTTTTTACGTTAATGAAATTTTTAACTTTTCGCTCCAGTTTCTTGGGATTATTCATTTAATATTATTCACATTATATTAAATGAAATAAATCAACACTATAATAAAATAAGTTTCGCGTAGGATAATGGATACAGCCCTTAGATTGAAAAAATAAAACATATATAATTCGTCATAACTTTCACAAAAAAATCATTGAAGTTCAATTATTATTATTGACTTTAGCTCTAAAAAAACCCCATTTTTTTAAGGATGTTAAATGATTCAGTTTACAAATGAAATTTCATAAGTCGAATGAGACAACGGAATGACTCGCCTCTGAAATCAAAGTTGAATAGTTAGTCAAACAAGTAAATAGTTAGCCAAGCAAGGCCAAACAAGTAAACGTCTGCGCTGTATTCGCAGTATTTTTTATTTATCGATCCAAAATTTATTCTTCATATAATTTAGGGTATAATGTAGGTCATATTTCGATAAAGATTTTACGCTCTTTATTATTTTTATGTTTTTGCTTAAAATTACCAATTTATATGATTTGATACATAAATAATATGATGTTAAACGAGGTTTTTCACTGCTTTTTTTTCCATCTTCCCTGCCTCTCTCAACAAAAAAAGAATAAGTTTAATACGTTGAATGCTATGGGGGTCACCGGTGACCGGCACTGAGTTTGTTCGTAGCACCACGGGGGTAACCGGTGAAGCCAAGATTATTAGAAACACATAATTCGAGTAAATTTTTAATTTTTTTTATATTATTATCGTTACTAAAAAGGTTTGAAGAAATTAATGCAATACATACTGAGAAAATCATTTTGGCCAGACGGGTCCTGTAAAATGACAATTTGGTCCTGTAAAATGACATAAACAAATATTTATCTTGATTTTGTAGCTTGTTGATAGAACTTTGTGTTATTGTCGACCAGTGCTTTAGAGGGGGGAAAATGACCTTTCAATCTGTAACCACAGATTGTTTTTAAGCACGGAATTTTTGCAAGATTCAGATTTTACATTATACAAATTAGGTTATTTCTTAATTTCAGGTCCCGCAGAGAACTGATCGTTAAGACACGGTTCCCAGCAGATCACCGAAGTCAAGCATCACGGGTTGCTGCCAGTGTGCTGGTGGGTGACCACTTTGATTAGTCTGCGTAGGGACCGAGGGTGTGCGGTATTGGTTCTCGTTAAACTGTTCTAACGTAAAGTGCTTGACTTCGCCGGCAGCTTGTCGGGCTACCAAGGCAGAGAAACCTTCCCCTCTGCAGAGGATTAAAATTGTGATGGCATGTCTTCAGATAATCCTCAGGGATGTTTCCCAGACCGTCGCCAATAGTTCATTGTGCAGCTCTAGTGCGACGTAAATGAACAACAGCAACAACATCTTAATTTCAAAGATTAATTTCTCCTCGAAATCAAAGTCTTTGCCGATTTCAATGTTGCTGTTGTCCGCCATTGCTTCTGTCGTTAACGTTACGTTGTAATCCAACTGCAGTTGATTCGGACGGCAGTTGCCGTTCAAGCTGACAAGCGTTCAATGACTCAAAAATTAACCAATCAGAGATTAGCGCTCTCTTCAAGCTAACGTTTTGCATCGTCGATCTGTCCTAAGAAACCAGGCATTGAAATACATCGAGCGGACTTTCGTAAGAGTAGTCCAATCAGACTCAAAATATGAATTGTGTTTGAATATGATTTCTTCACTAAACAAACATTAACAGTAATAAATTGGTACTAACAAGTGCTTTTTTGTTTTACCGTGAGTTCGAACATACATACAAGTGCTTTTTTTATATCACTGCACTACCTTTTTCAAAAAGTAGCTCTTTACACTACGAAAAATGTAAATGCTACAGTAGTTTTATTACTCCGCTCTCAGCTTTCCCTTATCGGGTTCGAACGAATTTTAGAATTATGCCCCAACGCGCTCAAGTGTTCAATACAGGCCCAGACATTTTATTTCATTTTGTAACTGTCGTTGAACAGCCGACCCAATTTTATGGGTTTACGACAACTAATATTCAACTCCGTAGCCTTGTAATTTTGAACCCAATCCAGAAGACAAGGGAACTCCTGGATCGAGTGGTGGGAGAAATTTTGCCTTCGTGGAGGACTTTTATTTTTTGATGGAGTTAACCCGCATTTGTGTTACATGGAGAGGAAGACCACGAGAGCCTCTCATGGTTAGCTTGAAGACAAGGGGACTCTAACCCATGATCCGTCTACTACTGAGGATATATCACGTTAGCACTGAGGTCGGTGAAAGCCGGATGCGGAATTCATATCGAATGGGATTCGAACCCGGTTCGCCTCATTGGAAGGCGAACGCTCTATCCCCTGAGCCATTGCGGCTCAAGCTCAGACATTGACAATATCCATAAACAATTAACAACAATTAGAGTGTACATGTTACATTGAATGATCGAAATCAAGAGAACGTCGACTTTCACCGGTGAATTGTCAACAATCATATGATCGCTTTGGTGAATGTCCAAAATATTTGTTATATCCGATTTAATATTAATTTATTCATTGATATTATATTTATTCGCTATTTTAATATCTGATGAGGATAGATTAGGAGAAACACCAGTGCTCGGAGTACCGGTTAAATGTATTCCGGGCATTGGCACTGAACCTTAAAAAACATTGATGTAGGGCCTACTGGGCAGTGGCACTTAACTAGACCTTGTATATATTTCGGACATATACCAAAGTGAATATCAATACCTCTAGAGGTACTGGATTGGAGATCGATCGTTCTCTGATTCAGGTAAAAATTACGATCTGTGGATGGATGTATGAATGGGTTCGCCCTATAAACGGGTGCAGCGAATGGGTGTGACAGAAGTCGAATTCTTGGCCATAGATGGCACCACTGGAAAACAAGAACAATCGCACCCCTCTGCCTAAACAAGCATACGAAACCAACCAATCAATCAAAGTGAATATGTGATTGTCAACATGAATCGGTGGAAGTCAACAACCACCGATTTCGGTCATTCACAGCGATAAACATAAAAATCAACTTGCCCTCCCTGCACTTAGCTGGCAAGCTTTAAACGAATCTTGCCAGCAATTTGAAAAATATATATATTTTTCCACTTCATATAAAGCTCAATGATTGTCGCCGTGTTTTTATAAGGATATATATATGTATATATATATTCAAAAACAATGTTTCATATTAACCTGAAAGTTAATTGTACCATTGTTCTGCTGATCGCAGGTCCGAAAGACGTAGTGAGCATACAGAGACGCATCTAGAAAAGAAAGAGAAAAAATGCAATTAGAAAATGAACTTTACTGAATTATTTTCTATCACATTAAATGTTAGAAAGCTCTGCAATTTTCAGGAAATTAAGAATGGTTGTAGGAAACATGTGATGGAGAGACTGCTTTTTCAATCGAGAACATTGCTCCCTATCAGGATTGGGATATAGGAGACATTTTATATCGTGATATTTCGTCTGTAAGACATCGCGATATAACACACGTTTGAATATTGTTTGATTTGAAACAAGTCTACACAATCAGAAACCTTAAATCAATCTAAAATCACTAAAAGAAATAATCAATATTTGACAAAAAAAATATTTCATTATAAAGAATACTCTTAAAACATCAATAAAATTGCTTAATTGTTTAATTACAATAATAAAGATGAATTTAGTTAAGACCGAATTCTAAAAGTAAAAAAAAGAAAATCAAGAATAAGCTTTGTTTTAAATTTTTCTTAAATTAAAAACGACTTAATATTTAATGGTTAAAAAATAATAATAAAATTCTCTCCAAATATTTTAATCGCATGTATTGTAAGAAATATTTTAAAATTGAAAAAAAGATAGGTTAAAATCAAACAAAAGTAACTATACACTGAAAAAAAAAATTTTTAAATTAATTTGAAAAAAAAATTTTTTTACATTAATAACGAATTTCGTATACCAAAAAAAAAAAATAAAACGAAATAAATAAATATATAAATAAAATAAAATGAAATAAATAGATAAATATATAAATAAAAAAAATACAATAAATAAATAAATATATAAATAAATAAAATAAAACAAATAAATACATAAATAAAATAAAATAAATATATATATGTATATAAATAAAATAAAATAAAATAAATAAATAAATGTATAAATAAATAAAATAAAATAAATATATAAATAAATAAAATAAAATAAATATATAAATAAATAAAATAAAATAATAAATATCACAACAGAATCGTATTTAATAATTATCGTTATGTATTGCGATACTATCTTTTTAATTTGTTATATTATCGATAATGATCATGATATTACAGTATTCGATAAATATAGCTATAGATATTAATAATGACCGCGATATTTCCTTGTTCGATACGTATTTTTATTATTAAAGGGCTTGATATTATCGCATTTGATGCTCCTACGTGCATTATCGTTAGCCAGTGACCCATATGGACCAGAATCTGGCATTGTTCGTGTAAGTTGGTTAACTTAACATCATGGTCCCTATTACTGATAAGTAGGGGAGAGGGGGGCACATGTGAACAAGGGGCTCACGTGAACATGGTATGTTTTACCAATATGATTTGAAATAAAAAATCTTACAAAATTTTCAATTGATGGCAGTACTAGTCCTACCTCTCTGCAAAACTTTCAGAACAATGAGCCATTTTGTTGTTATATTCTGACAATTTCTTTGTATCAGCTGGTGTTGTATATATTATAATCACTCGCTTCTTCATGTGAAAGTATAGTATAAATCAACTGATAAGCTAAAATTAACTATTGCAGACCATTATATAAACATTCAGGTAAGTTCATGAAGAAAAAAAATTTTTTTTACTCAATTAAAATTTCTTTATTTTTCAAGTTAGGTTTAGGAAAGATGATGGGGGCACTTGTGAACAAAACATTTGGGGCAGATGTGAACAGTTCACCTGTGCCCCTACATAGTATTAAGATTATTATCCTCATGATATTATAAGTTTTAAAAATATGTATGCAATTAAAATAATTATTCTTTAATTTTCCATAATTAATTTGTTAATTATTAATTTTTTCTTTTAATTTTTTTTAATTAAATGCATCACGCATATTAACTGATACACCTGAGAAAGATAAAATTGCTGAAGCTACAAGTGAAAAGATAGAAAAATAAAAAAAAAAGCATGAAAGAGTATTAGCAAAGACAGAAAAAGACCCATTACAACTCCTGAGGAACATGAAGTTGCCAAAAACCCAACTGCGGAAAAATTATTGTACAGCGGAATTTTTTTTTCTTACTGACAGTACTGTTGTACAATTTAAATTCACATAGTAAGCTACATGCCCTGCAGTATAATGTGTATCTGTATCTGTCATATTAAGGATTGCTTTCTTTGAAATATGATGATAGCTTTGTGTTTATAATCTTGTTCATATGTGCCCCAGGAAAGTTCACATGTGTCCCCCACAGGGGCACATATGAACAATTGAAGTCATTTTTCTAAAATATCATAAAGTAAGGAAATATTTTATTGAAAAATCTCAAAAAATTCCATAAGTTAAAGAAAAGACTATTTAAACATATGGACTTCTTTACTGTAAGAAATTGATGATATTTTTTGAAAATTGAAGAAATAAAAAAAATTGTTCACATGTGCCCCCCTCTCCCCTACCTAATAATATTTCTGGTGTAAAGGAAGAAAAAAAACTGATCTTTATTAGAAAACTAATTTTTATCATAAAATAGTTCATAATAAGGCAATATCAAGCAAATACTTTATAACAAAGGAGCAAAATTTTTATTTTTAAGCCTTTGAATTTAATCAATAATCAAAATAAAAAACACAATATCAATAGAGAATAATATAAACAATGTGTTGATGAATAAATACCGCATCATCCTACAATTACGGATAAATAGTTTATAAACACAAGAAATAATATTATTTCGTTTAAAAAAATTAAATAATTTACAGGTTTATTAATTTTGTGTGGATGATGGATTAATATAAAATTCGTAAAATATTTCGATATAGATTTTAGCTGATATTTTCGATCTTTCTTGTTTTTTAATGCAATCACGTGGTTTTTCTGTCCAATGAGAGTCCACAAAAATATATATACAGAAATCATAGTAATTCAAAAAAGTAACAAAATTCACTGAATTAGCTAATTTACTAATTTCACTAAATTAGCACATCCGCCCATTCTTAAAAGGAAAGGTATCAGAAGTGTCACTTGCCAATTGGGATGAATTTCTTTTTTACAAATAAGTTCGGATTTCATATATGACATTAATTTTGTGTAGTTCGAAATAATTATTAGTTAAAAATTATCAGATATATCACAGATAAGTTATAAATTATCCAACAGAAGAAGAGTAAGAGGTTGTTTTAATCTCCGTCATCGAAGTTCTTTATTAGAAACTTAAATATTTGCGTTTTGAAATGCCAAATATTATAGATGTAAATAGAAAATTGGTATAAAAATTCGATTGTTTTTGGGTAATAAAACTACATTTAAAATATTTTTTTAAATTATTTTTTTACGATAACAGTTTGTTTACTGAATTCTTAACAATAAACAGTTTATTTTTTTCAGTTTCTTACACTTTTTTTTGTTGCAAAAACAGTTTATTTGCTGAATTAGTACTCAAACGACAATTCATTGCTTGAAATTCACCTAATATATTCTTTGGTATAAACGTAATTTTTCCAACTGCAATCGCGTATTTACCAAAATTTCTTCAGCTGCTTTTTTTTTCAGCCCTAATTAATTGGACGGACAAAATATTATGTATCTAATATTATGTACTCCATTATATGTAGCCGGCAAATGAATTACCAATTTTTGGTGCAATGTGGCTCGTAATTTTTAACCATCTTATGCTCCTTTATTTATAAAATGTGAGGATACCCCTTTGCCCCCCTCCCGTTTCAGCTGACCCTGAAACTATTTTTCGTATAAATCATTTCATAAAAGAGTCTAAAATAAATATCAGAAGTTCTTTTTTAGAATGTTGAAGGTGTTTTCCCGAAAATAAGTTAAGATAATGATAATATTCACGAAAGAAAAGATCATGTAACCTTCGAATTCCTGTGTTCGTACAAGTCAGACATGGCCTTTCGTTTCATTGAAGGTCTCTTTCAATCAGTCACGCTTACTAAGAGAGAATATCTTTCCCTCCATTTTTTTTTTCTCCTTCTCCGCAAATGAAGTTAAAGAAAGTAATTTATTATTAATAATAAATATTAAAATTAAAGAATAAAATTGAAATTAAGGAATAAAAATTAAAATGTATATCTTTAAATTAAGAAAAGCGTGAGGGCTGCCGCAACAGCTTTAGATGTTATATTAACGTTTTATTTTGTTATACTCAACGTTATATTTTGTTGTGCTACGCAAAAATTATGTGATTTATAAACTTAAATTTAAAAAGGTGCAAAGAAAAAGAAAGAACAATGGAATAAAAAAAATTATCATTTGTGAAAATCATTAACAGTCAAACTTGTAAAAAAAAATACCATACGGAAACCCTCTACCGGCCGCAGCAGTGCAACAGAAATGAAATTCGGTATACTAAAAGGGCTATATTTGTTTATGAACTTGAAACTGAGTTTTTTTTAAAATTTAAGTTATTTAAAGAGTTTTTGTAACTTTAAGTGTGTGTTTTTTAGCTATTTCTTTTCTTTCTCTCTCTCTCTTTCGTTATTTTACGTTACATTTTCTTTCGTTGCACAAAATTTGTGAGATTTAGAACTTTGAAACTACCGAGGTGTATAGTAAAAAGAACAGGGAGTATGATGGAACTTAAGATTTGACAATTAGTTCGAAAATAGACAGAGAGGATGAAGATAAGATATAACACCGGAGAAAAAAAGACATCAGTTCCAGAAGGGGTCTATAAGTCTGTCTTAATCCAATTTGACATAAAGTACTTTCTCTCAAGTAACTAACTGGAACAGTTCGTAAAGAATCCTCTGAAGATTTAATGACGGAGTTCAAAGGTTCGAATCAGGAACTCACCATCTTGCAAAACTATTATGATCGGCTGGCCTCTTATCATAGTGAAAATCAAATTTCTAGACCCTGGCCTTTTTCATTGCAAATAAAGTAAAATTATTTAAAAGTAAATTTGTAGTGTTACGTGTTAAATGACGTTACTTTCCATTTAATCATGGTTAAAAAATTTTAATCCCAAATTTTAAAACGTAGTTTAGTACTGTATTATTTTTATCTCCTATTCAATAATACCGCCAGGGACGTGCAGTTTTTTG